ACATTTACTACAACAGTGGAGCAACACTTTTCACTGGAAGTAAATTACAGCCATTAAAGACGAGTAAGTGTGCAGTGTGAGCTGCTCTTTAACCAATAAAGAAGAAGAAGTCATTAGTGTGTGAGTGTGTTAACCACCATCATGATGAGATTTAGTTCAACGTTTACATATTTCACAGTCGCTGTGTGTTTCCTGTGTTTGTGTGTGTGTGTGTGTTTGGACTCGGAGCTTCAGACACGAACAGAAACCAGCAGAGGATTCAGTCACTTTTCTCCGTCATCATGTTTCGTGTCGATAATGAACCTGAGCAGCAATTTAACCAAACAGTCAGAGCTCCAGATGGCTGAAGAGAAGAGACGGCACAGAGGGAAAAGAAGGCTGCTTTCACCGTTATTATCACCGTCAGTGAAGTAAACAGATTATCTCGGAGAGGATAAGTGCTGTCTGTCAAATCAACACCAGGGTCCAGCTCCAAAACAGCACATTATACAGCTCAGACTGACAAACTCTGAAATCATGTTCACAGACTTTGGAAATCTGAGTTTCAGCCAGATTTAAAACTTTTAAAATATTCTAATTGAATTTTAATTCAGATTCTTATCATACAGTTCCCATTAAATATACTGTGAAATATTTAAACTACAGACTCTGTCAGATGTTAATATTCAACATATTTTCCAAATATTCAGACGGACACATTTGATATCTTTGAAAACTTTGAGTCCTCTTCTAGAATTTCTGTGAGTTTGGACAGAAGAACTCCAAGAAGTCACTTTAATCCCAGCAGGACTTTTAAGCCCCGTCTCCACCAAACCCTTTCAGTCCAGCACCTTTGGAACCAGCAGTAAGCCTTCAGACATGGTACCTAGACCCTCGGTTTGTTCAGACAGTCCTCTTAAATGTGGGCGGGGTTGTTGTCACTCACTGCTCCGTCCAGCACTCGCTGTATTTCCTCATCAGCGGTGACACAGATGGAAGTCTGCACCTGGTTTATCGTCCACAGAACGAGGCTGCACGCCCACATTTTCACAACAAAATAGAACAGGCTGCAGTGAGAGTCTCTCTCCATGGGATATTTAAAAATAGCAGCTTTGTGCATTTAGTCCTTCTCAGGCAAGCTCAGGGGTTTAGTGTTGCTGTAGCCCACAGGAAGTGAGGATTAGAATATATGACCTTCACATAATCCGCTCCAAATTAATCTATATTTTTAAAGTCATTACTAAAAGTGTGTGTCATATAAAAACTAAAGTGATGGTCAAAGTTGTCACAGTGAAATTTAAGGTGTGCTGATGGATTCACGTCATCAACTCATGCATTGAGTAACATTACAAGTTAACGTTCCACCTTAAAAGTTGCCGGCAGTCGGCCCAGTGAATGAAGTTATTTTTTTCTCTTTCATTTTATAGTTGTAGTTTACTGATGTATGAACAGAGGTTACATAAAACCAGAGTGAGCGTCCTCTACTGACCAATCAGACTGCAGGGTTTCTAGCTCCACCTTTTAGTACCAGATCTGTGTGCTAGGTACCCCAACAGAGGGGGGACCAAACATGGGGACGCTAAGGAACGCTTCTGTTGGGACCATCCACAACTTTACACTGTGGAGACAGAAAACATTTTTACCAAACTGATATAGTCCACTATGAGCAGCGCTAAAATCAACCTGCGTAGTTGTCCCTCCATTGTGACATTAGAAAGTGTCACATTTATCTTGCAAGTGTACTCTTCTTCAACGTTTGCTTTACTTCCTGGATTTTTCCCACATGGAAATTCTGACCAATCAAGAGCAGCTTTCTCACACAAGGCATTTGATCTGGTCCTCTTGTAAATGCTGCCGTGAGAACACGAACCAACTCTAGGCAATTATACAACTTTGGAACAACATGAGTCCCTGATTCAGACCAGAGGAGACCACTCTAGGGCTGACAGCAGCCATAAAGTACCAGTGAGCAAAGTAGGGTTCAGACTTGTGACACATTACTGCCTCTCTCAGGCAGTCAACAGGGCTACCTGCTTCAGGCACAGACTGTGGGGGATAATGGACGTAGCCACCGTAACATCACCCACTGTTTGGACAAGCTGTGATCTGACTCTGAAGATGGTCCAACAACTCAGCGTGTTTAAAGCCATGATGGAGACACAAATCAACACAGCCTCACAGCAGCCAAAAGCTCTGATGGAAAAGCCTCAGTAAACAGCTGAACACCTCCAGAAGATGGCAAACAGTGTTTCAGAAAAGTGATTTTATTTTTCAACCAACCAATCAGGACAAGACGACATGGCCAACAGAGGAGCTGCACTCATCACAGCCTGCAGCGAGTTTTTGTTCCTCAGCTGCTTCTGAGTGCTTCAGCTGTTCACACATCAAGACACAAAAAGACAGACTCTCTGTCGTCTCTCAGGAGGACACACAGAGCTCTGATTGGTCAGTTATTCTCTCACTTTACCCCTATACTGGTGAACAACACATTTCCCATCCTGGATGCTCATTAAAGTTCCATCATACAAAAAAAAAACAAAGCTTTATCGTTCATTTCAGTGAGACAGAAAACACTGAGGATCATCAGACAAACACATTTCTGTCCATTAAAGACTCCAGCAGGACACGTTCACTGACGCTGGGAAACTCTAGTGTCAGATGAAGGCAGCATGAAGACACACAGAGCAAATCATCCTTTGGAACAGGACAAATTTATCTCAGCAGCAAACAGCTCAACAGCAGATCAGTGTGTGTGAAGGTAACCTTACCACTCTTTATTCATGCAGACAGCAGAGCAGCAGCACTGAAAACATCCTTTAAATCAGCAGCAGTGACACTAACTGTGACAGAAAGCTGAAATTGTAGCACAGGATGGATCAACACAGGCGCCGAAATCCATTCATCTCCACGAACAATCAGAGGCGAGTTCACAGGGAGCGCAAATCAGCCACACGACACGGAGAAATAACATAATGGAAGATAAATGTCCTGCAACCACAGTCTGTCAGAGGAAATCATCGTTAACTCTCACTGCTGATACTGAATCACTGCAGCAGCTCCAGTCACGTCCCAGCATTCATTCTGTTACTGACTCATGTCGTTACAGATCCAGCCACGCCCTCCTCACCTGCAGTAACCCTTCACCTCCGTTTACTGATGATGGCCTCCGTCCAGTCCTTTGGTCTTATCACATTTAACCATAGTTGTCTTTGTTTTTGTTGACGGGCAGTGGCGGCTGGTTTTGAGCCATGACTCCTTCTATTCTGGCTCCCAATAACACAACAAGACAAACACATTTTAACACACTACAGCCCTGTGGGGGAGAGTCAGCTGCACCTCCAGGTGATAACATGATATCATCGCGTCGTCGGCCCTAAAAGGGTCTATATTACATCACTTTAGAAATACTGATACGATACATATGAAACATACAAATGTTAACATAGTCATGGTTTTCAGAAATGTACAACATTTTCTTCTGGCATTTGAGCTTCTAGTCGTCTTGTTGTGGTCGGGATGTGTGGAGAAAACTTTTTAAAAAGTGCACAAGTTAAAGGAGCTGCAGGGATCACACTTCACTGGAGCTGTAACTTGATTGATTGAATCTTCCCCTGGTTAAATTGACCTCTGTCTGTTTCTAGATTTAAAGCTTACAGTAACCTTTGCTCACGTATTCTCTACACATTAAATATTCTTTTTATTCTTCATACTAAGAACTTTTTCTCGTTCCTGTACAAAGCTTTACAGCTCTTTCATTTTCAGTCAGATATGCAGCTCATGTCACTGCTGCTGGTTTGATAAGGGATTTATGGATGAAGAGAAATAAATGTTTATCACGGCTTTGTGCCAGAGAGGATCGACCAACTTTGTGCCACGAGTGTCACAGGGATCTGCAGTAATGGATCTGAGGGCAGGATGATAAACTGAGCTCAGGGTGTGAGAGAGCAGCAGTGTGTCTGGAGATTATATCACTGTAATCTAGGACAGATAAAAAATGTTGCCTCCACTAAACTTTTCCGACGATTCAAAACTGGATCTGTTTCTGTCCAAGTTTTTGCTGCAGTTTGATGTTTGAATGTGAATGATTCATCAGCACAGACACCTAGATATTTGTGCCTCTGCAACTCTCAACATTCAGGCTGCAGAGAGAAGACGAAGATGTTGGCAGTGTGTGTTTCTGTAAACCACAGATAGGTTACATTTACAGTCGTCACTGTGTCTCCAGACGCTTCTTAGCAACCTAATGTGGGTGTTTTTTAGCACCTTGTCACAGTTTCTCCAGCGAGGACAGAGCCATGAACAGTGGTTGATTCTCACTGAGACATTGCTGCATTTGGAGATTGTTTCCCCAAAACTTAATATTTACGTTTTCACCATGTTGCTCTTCCTAAATCTAACCTCTGTGACTTTGAGTTAATTATGTAACTTAACGTAAAGGATGTAACGTCATTTATAGATACATTATGCAAAAAATACATAAAGTTACATGTGGTTTGAAGAAACGTACCATGCCAATAACATTTATTCTGGTGATTGTGTTGCAGTGTGAAGACGTAAAGACTGATAAATTCACCTGCTGTTGCTTCAACTTGCTTTTTATCTTTTCTTTTCTCTCACAGTGTTCGTTGTTCTGCACTAATAAAAACAAGCAGATTCCTCGTACGTGACAACCTACTCAGTAATAACCCTGATTCTGACTCTCCTCCGTCTGTCTGCTCTCCTCTGGCTCCTGAGTGTATAAATTGGTTTATAATGGCATTTCAGCGGCACAGGAAACCAACGCTGACTGTTAGCAGAACATCAGCTGTGTGTTCAGCTTCAGAAACGTAACATGGGAGCTGTGTTTTTGTTTTAGCGCTGAATTCATCTGATGTTCGCTCTCCTTCCTCCTGATCTGATTTTTACCTCATTCATTCCTTCTCAACAGAGACCCACAGACAGCAGCAGGAAACCTTCGACATCACCACGAACTACAATTAACCAGCTGGTGAGAGGCCAGCGTGGTTGCCACGGCGACCTACCTCCATCCACTTTCCGTGGGACTGCATCTTGAGGACGAAGCACGGGTCGGGTTTGGACAGGGCATCTCGGTCTGGGATCCCTTTGCATGTTATCCGCAGCTCCACTTTGGTCAGACATGGACTGCTGAACAAACCCAGAGAGTTGGCCGCTGACTCGTAGATGTCACTCATGGTTGGAGGCGGGACAGGAAGTCTGCATGGGAAAGAAGGCGGGTCATAGGATTGACTACTGTGTTTTCACTGGCGAGCAATGGAAAGTTTTCAGTGTAGTTTCGACCCAGTTTAACTACGATAAAGCAAAGAGCCGATAAAAAGTCCTTTACAAAGAAAAGCAGAAGAATGACATTCATTAAAAAACTGAACAAAATTAAAGAGATAGAAGTTATGAGATTTTAGAAATAAGGTAAAATTAAATAAAACACAAATATAACAGACCATAAATACAGTTACAGTATTTCCCCAAATGCAACAAAAGAATTAAAAGTGCAGCAGAGATCTGATCAGTCAGAGAAACAGGAGAACATCAGTGGGATCATTTAAAGTCGGGACAAATTTAAGATCAACAGGAAGTCTGTTTCTTCGCAGCTTAAAGCAGTTTCACTCTCTGTGGTTCTGACGTCATTCATCTGACTGCTCACTAAAGATCCTACAGACCTGCTGAGTTTCTGTTCTTAAAGATTAGAAATCTATTCTGGCCTGAGATTTTCAAGAAGTTTATAAACCTGCAGAACTTTAAAATCTAATCTGTAACTGGAGGACATCAGGCGGGTTTCCATCCAACTGTGTTTCTGAAGAGATGCTCTTAGAGAAACTGCTGCTGTTTGAGAGATTTTCAGAATAAAAGTTCCATTGAGGACATATCAAGGGATCGAGCACCGTTTGCTTCACTGACAGGTTCCTCAGCCTGTCATCGTAACAGACATCATCATGAGGGTGCTGTCAATTGAACATAAATGTTGACGAGTACAGTCTCGTAAATTGATGTATGTCAAGACAACAACACATCCTCTTACTTAACAACAGAATAAGTCGTTTGCCAGTGACTCCAAAAACAACATATATGACCAGCGACAGGCACACATGGATCTCCTGCAACTTGAGGCCCAGACACACCAAACCAGCATCAAAGAATTCGTAGCAACAAAGGCCAGCTGCTGCGTCGCCTCACATCGCCTGTGTATCGGCCAAAATGTTGCACCTGAACACACTGCGAAGACCACAGCCAACAACCAACTAGCACGAACGTTCTGCACCCATGTGAGAGAAAATGCCATACCATACCAGCAGGTGTTAGTTATCTGTATTCCTCATTTGTACTCCGCCATTTTGTAGCAAAAACGCCTAAACTGACATACCCAAATTAAAATGTCTGTAGCTTCTGAACCGCTCTGACTACATGCATGCATGAGGTCTTACCAGAAAGAAAACTCCCTGAAGTTTCTTGTGAAAGTGTCAGAAACACTCTAGGTGATACAGAGACAGAGTAATGGGCCTCTGAAGTCAGTGAAAAATTGAAGATTTTGCCTAAAATAAAATAAAAAATGTGTTTCAGGATGAATAACTGTCTGTGGCTTTATCTGAGCAGGTAAATGACACTGTGGGGCTGTAGGCACACTATCAATGAACACTTGTTTCAAATTTGAAGAAGACTGCTCAAAGTATGACCATTCTACAGTGTTTTTACCATGAAAAGATCCAGGCGGAGCTCCAAAAGACGTGTTGGTCTCTCTGCTTCAAAACAGTACTATCAGTGATCAAACAACACTCAGCCAGCTTCAAACATTGTACCTTATTGAAATCAGGTGTGATTATGATAGCTGATGTTGTTTATGACACAGAAACACCATAAAATATCACCAAATAAAGCCATATGAAACGTGAAAGTTATGATCCCACTTTCTAGACGGTGTATCTCAGCCAAAAATAGTGGTAGGAGTGAGACTCTTACCTTTTATAAAACAGCTACATCTCTGCTAACAGCTCCACATAAGATCACCACTCATCGCGATTTTGGACTTTGTGTGTTTAGGCTGCTCTGGTGTGAAATACATAATAAATAAAAGAAAAACAATGTTATTTTTGAAAATACCAAACATCACATGGTTTGATGACGTAGTGCGCCTGGGAGATACCATTTAACAGAGGAGGGAGGGAGCGAGGATGTCGGCGTCCTGGCGGAGTTAGAGAGGTTAAAAAAGGGAAACCAAAAGACGGTCTTGACACTAGTTAGCCAGTTAGCAACAAATTACAAACCCTTTCTGCTAAAAAGAGCTCAGTGGCAAAAAAAAGAAAAAACTGACTTCAAATAACAAGTTCATTTGATCTCACACCCTCTTGACTTGAGTCAAAAGGGCGTGTAACGCTTTGACACTCTGCTGGTTCTGACACTGATTTACATGCCAATGTTGTGGAAAACACAATGAAACAGACATGACAGACAGCTTGACATTGACCAACAGCCAAACGTCAGCTTGGTGTGTCAGGGCTATTAGATACTTATGGATCATTCTGCTCAGGAACCTTCAAAAAAAAAAAAGACACTTTGACCGCAGCCTGAGAAGAGACAAAGGTCAGAGAAGTTCCTCTGTTCAAACAGTTTAAAACAGGCAGGCAGAACTTTAATTAAAACTTTAGGAAACATTCTCACGCCTCACTGCGTGAATGTGATCACTTAATATCTGATTTACATATTATAATTACATGGATATGTTTCCTGTCAGGATCTGAATGGATGGAACCAACAGCCAGCGCGTGTTTGCTGAACAAACCATAATTAAATTAGAACAGCAGATGATTTTAACTCCTGTGTCATTTTGCTCATTACATTGGTCTAATTATATTTTATGAAACCACTCTCATTATGTTGTTCAGGGGGATTACCACATTATGTTCAAAATTATGTTCATTTGGTTCATTTAATCTGGCTCCATCTCTGTCACACACACGTCTGGACATGGCGTCCAAAATGACTGGGTGTCTCCGTGCTCTGATTAAACTGTCTGAGATAAAGTTTCACTGACTGAAAGTAAAACAAGTCGGAACTAAAACGTCAATCAAAAAAATCTACTTATTAAAAACAACCGTCAGAAATGTTTCCAGAAATTGTGTCATACAAGTTTCTCCCAAAATGTTCTCTAATTCCAAAAAGTGTTCGACCTTGTCTACATCCTCGTCTTCAGAGATCGCCATGTTGCACTGCCATGTTTCTACAGTAGCCCAGAATGGACAAACCAAAAAGTTCTATTCTACCTTCATCAGTCTGCAGGACTTTCTGATGCTGAACTTTGTGGTGAGGACACAGGACAGGTTTTCTTCTGATGACTCTTCCATGGAGCTCATACCTGTCCAGGTGTGTCTGCACAGTAGAACAGTGCACCACCACTTCACAGTCTGATAAATCTTCCTGCAGGTCTTTTGCAGTCAAACAGAGGTTTTGATTTGCCTCTCTAACAATCCTATGAGCAGCTCTCTCAGAAAGTTTTCAGCTTGACCTCCACAGTTCCTGATAACTGACATTTCTTAATGACATGACCAACTGAGGAAACAGCTAACGAGCTCATTAAGGTCTGAGACCCTGGTGAAAGTTGTCTGAGAGCTCAAATGTCTCGGGATGCCCAAACTTTTGCATGGTGCCTTTCATTTGTTATTCACTCTAAAATTGTACAAAATAAAAATAAAACACTGATCTTGATTAAAATGTTGAAAAGCATGTTTCATCTTTAGCTTCATGCCTTTTGCAGATCAGTTCATCTTCTCCTCACTGAACTCTTCACAGTAAACGAAACTTTGACCAGGGGTCTGCAGACCAGATTTCACTCTCTCACTTTCACTCTTCTCCTCGTCTTTTTAACCTCCATGGCGAGGAGGCACTGAGCAAAGCAGATCTGCAGATCTACAGTACAATATACTTGTTTTAAATAGAGATTCACACAGACCCAAATTGTAGGTTAATGACTGGTTAACAAGGGTCGGCTGTCCATCACAAAAAACATTCTAATAAGATCTCTTCACCTACTGAATCTGACAGCAGGGTCACATCTGATGTTCAGAGCCGATGAATCTACACGTCATCATCATCATCATCAGCAGCAGCAGAAACCCGTCCAGTCCAAAGTGAAACCTTTCTCACAACTGCATGTGACTGCGTTCAGATTTCCAACATGATCCTGATCCCAGCCTCAGTCTCGTCGTCTCCACCCTCACTGACGATGACCTCACAGGAAACCATTTCTGCTGGGTCAGGACGAAGCACTCGTATCTGCACCTCCGCCACCACTTCATCACCTCCCTCCATTAACGCATCAGCAGCATCTGATAAAGGCTGCGGTATCCGGCTGGGCATCAGTAATGTTCTCCACAGGAGGAAGTTACAGATATCGCTCTGTAAAAATATCCTCTTCCTCCTCATCATCGTCGGCTCGGGTTACATGAGGAGGAAGAGCAGGAGATGAGGGTTAGAGTCCAGGAGTCTATTTAAAAAAACTGACCACAGATCAGTCTTCACTGTCGAGGATCCAGTTTCACACGCTGAGATACACCAGCCTGCATTTCTGCTGCAGAGAGGAAGTAAAATCTTTACTCTATTTTTTACATCAGAGAAACAACCACAATATATCTACATGGACTTCACTAGCTTCTCAATCAATACCAGTAAAGTCAATATCATTGATCACCTTCACTTCTCAGTGGCAGAAATCCTCCCAGTCTCACATGTCGGAGTGAAACTTTAAATATTATTGATGTAGTCCTTCATTTACAGCCCGAAAACACAACAAACACTTTCATCTAAATGTGTTTGATGTAAAAAAAAAAAAACAACAACATTCGTTTGTCCGCTCATCTGAAAAGTTGAAAGCTAAGTAAATTTAGAAGTCCTTAATCAATAAATCAAGTGAACTTTAAGAGACGGGACGTCCTTCAGAGTTTAACAAAATCTATTAACAGCCATTTAAAGGTTATTTAATGTATTGCAGTTGTGATTTTGGGCCACTTACAAAGTCTGAACTGTTTTCATGTGCAAATAAAATGTATTTTAAATGATTCTTATTCAGTAACAACATATTTCATAGATTTACAATAAGACTGATGACATATTAAAGGTCCAGTGTATCAGAGTTAAGGGCATTTAGTGGCGTCTGGCAGAAACTTTTCCTGCTCAGAATTCCTTCATTGTTCTTTGTTCAGGAGCTGAAT